CTCAAACCCCTGATGATTACTGACCAAAATCAGAATTTAAAATTTATGTTAGTACAAACCAAAGTTCGCTATATATGAAGCGGCAGACGGTAACGGGGTATGCTGCAGTATGGATCCTCAGAAAAGTCTGATAAAGGTGCAACCCTCCCCCCCAAATTATTACGATCTTCAGAGGGAGGGCAGTACATTGGATGGAGCAGGGGTTGGCAACCTACGGCACGCGAGCCAATTCTGAGTGGCACGCAGCTCCCTGCCGCAGTCCCGGCCCCCAGCCCCACTCAGCCCCCCCGCCCACCGCTCTCCCCTGCGGGGGCAGGAGACAGAAGCTTGGTTCTGCGGCAGCCAAGCTTCCCCCCTCCCCCGCTTCTTCCCCCAGCGGTGCTTTCCTGCCCCTCCTCCTCTCCGTCCCTGGCCAATCAGCTGATGGGCCTAGCGAGGGGGAGGGGGAAGAGCGGCAGCGTGCTCCCTGCTCCGTAGAGGACACAGAGAGAGGTAGGGACGGAGCCTGGGGGAAGGGGGTGGAACAGGGCATATCCCTTCCAGCCCCCTGCCCTGAGCCGCTTAGGGCAGGGGGCTGGGAGCACCCCCACGAGCCGAGCACCTCAGCCTTCTGCCCTGCACCCCCTCACCCCAACACACACCCATCCCTCTGCCCTGCACCCCCACAGCCCCATCCCTCTGCCCTGAACCCCCCCACACTCAGCCTTCTGCCCTGCACCCCCCACACCCCCAGCCCTCTGCCCTGAACCCCCTTCCCCAGCCCTCTGCCCTGACCCCTGAAACACCCCCCTCCCCCAGGTCTGGGGTCCTGGCCGCAGGCCCTGATCAGCCCTCTGCTGGCCTAGGTGAACAGAACCCCAGGTTGGCAGCAAGCTGAGCAGGCTGGTGGCGTAAGATCAGCATTTTAATTTAATTTTAAATGACGCTTCTTAAACATTTTGAAAACCTTGTTTACTTTACATACAATAATTTAGTTATATAATATAGACTTATAGAAAGAGATCTTCTAAAAATGTTAAAATGTATTACCGGCACGCGAAACCTTAAATTAGAGTGAATAAATGAAGACTCGGCACACCACTTCTGAAAGGTTGCCGACCCCTGGGATGGAGAAATTAGAGAAAACATAGAAACGAAGTAAAGATCAAATTTAGTTCTCTGAGCACTTTGGGGGATTAATATGGTGTGCACCAATTTAGCCTTCCATTATAGTGTTAATTGCTGTTCCATTATAGCATTCCCCCTTCATGAGGACAAAACTTCATAGAAAATATTTTAGTTGTTTATCGCTTATACCACAATCTACCACATCCATCTGCCATCTTCCAGCACAGCTACTAACCACCCCAAATTTCATGTCTTGTCAAATAAACGTTTTACTTCTTCCAATTCTCCTCTATGCTCACTCACCCAATGCTAGTATTCAATCCTAAATCCAGAGTCATTTAATTGTCAATGTTCTTTTTAACAAGCTGTGTCTACACTTGATTTTTTTAGTTGTGTTAACACAATTACAGATTCTCATGTGAACAATCCACAAACATCTTGTAAGAACCCATGGGCCTAGAACTGGGGACTCAGGGTCTGAGGCAGGCGACACCATCAGAGGACCCAATCACATCAGCCACACAATCAAGGGCTCATTCACCTGCACATATACTAATGTGATATATGCTATCATCTGCCAGCAAAGACCCTCTGCCATGTACAGTGGCCAAACCGGACATCTCTACATAAAAGAATAAATGGACACAAATCAGACATTGGGAATGGTAACATACAAAAGCCAGTAGGAGAACACTTCAATCTCCCTGGACTTTCAATAACAGATTTAAAAGTAGCCACCCTTCAACAAAAAAACTTCAAAAACAGACTTCAAAGAGAAATTGCAGAGCTACAATTTATTTGCAAACTTAAGACCATAATTTGGGCCTGAATAGGGACTGGAGTGGCTGGCTCACTACAAAACCAATCTCCCCTCTCTTGGCATTGACACCTCCTCCTCAATTATTGGGAGTGGACCACATCCATCCTGACTGAATTGGCCTTGTTATCACTAGTTCTCCACTTGTAAGGTAACTCCCTCCACTTCATTTGCCAGTATATCTATGCCTGTATCTGTGATTTCCACTCCATGCATCTGAAGAAGTGTTTTTTTTATCCACGAAAGCTTATGCCCAAATAAATCTGTTCGTCTTTAAGGTGCCACCGGAATCCTCGTTGTTTTTATGGCTACAGACTAACGCGGCTACCCCTCTGATACTTGAGTCCTTGTAAACACTCAAAGCCTTCCTCTCCAAGGGTCTCAGTACAGAGTCCTTAGGAGACTTAACCAGTCTTTTCTTAGGCACCAGTAATGCAGAGCTGCCTGAAGACTCTGTCAGAACAGGAGAAGCACTTCTAATAGACTTAGATGTGCTCAGTACCCATTCTGAGTAGGAGGGTTCCAACGGCGGACGAAGTACAGACTCCATGAGCAGGTACTTGAGTGTGGCAGTCCTGTCCTTTTCCAATGGGGTTTGAACCCTCTACAAATGTGACATTTGTCACTTCCATACACCTCTCCCTGACACTTAAGGCAGCTGGGGTCTGGGTCACTCACTGGCATAGATCTGTTACATAAACGACAGGCTTTGAAGCCCGGAAAATAGGACATCATTCTGGTACCCAACCAGGCACCAGTGACCCTACTCTAAAAAGACAGTATTCTAAACTTAATCCTATAACTAATTATTTACAGATATACTATACAAGACTAAAAACTAATGCTACTGGTATTATTTACAGTAAGGGAGGATGATATGAAGAAACAAATATCACATCTCTAACAACAACTGTCACTGGTGATAGGAAGAAACTAAGGGGGGTTGAAGGCAGTGTGGCCCTTTATGCCTGCATGCAGCGTTGTGAGGCATCACGGAGCACTCACACTGCCCAGACGGGTACCACTTTGAGAAAAATCTCCCAACTGTGCATGAGGTGCACTCACACCCACCGTGGAATGGACATGTGCAACCACTTGAAGAACTTATTTTTTTCACAGAAATCAACTGAAGCAATAACAGACTCTGAATGTAAATTTTGGGCAAGAGATATAATTTACATATATCCACATCGTGTATGTGATGGTGACTGCCATATGATGAAACAGGGCATCACACATCTTTTGACTATCTTATATGCCCTTCGCTCATTGAATCAGCTACCTGAAACTTTGTGGAATTATGAACAGGAGCATCCTGCAAAGGAAAGCTCCTCAGCTTTTCAACTGATAAACTTAGGAGGCCTAACATAATGGACTATCAAACGGTGACATGTCTAGGTACGTACAGTTATTTGGGGTTATTTTTAGTAGATACTTTACAGTTCCTATATGGTTGGACACATGGGGTGAGATTATCTGCAGGGCCTTTGAGCATCGAGCTGGCAGTCCAGGAGAAGGAGTGTTTGGGTGTGTAGCTCGATCAAAGTTAGCACACACATGTCTACCTGAGGCAAAAATTACACCCAAGGCTGCAGTATAGATTTACCCTAAGAGTACTATACTGAAAAAGAAGAGAATAGGGACAAAGATAAGATGTGGGAATGAAGATTATCCAAAACCAGGATCTCGCATCTGGATCTGCTACCTGAACTACTGTACCATGCCATTGCAAAATCTGATTGACTTCCATGGGACTCCACACAGATGCAGAAGTCAGCACTAGCAGAAGTTGATGCAGGACTGGGACATAATTCTGAAGTTCTTGGACATCATCAAGCAATAAAATAAAGTAATACACAGTCAATAAATTTTTAAAAGCAGTATTTAGCTGGAAAACAAAACACTAGTTAAATATTTATCTTCAGAGTCTTAGTTTTTTCCATTAATTTCAATGCGGAAGTACGTGTTCTGATCCTAATTTCTATGACTTCCAACTTGTTAGAAGGAAAACAGCACCCTACATAAAGTACATTTTGACTTTTTTGTGAATTACAATTTGTTTTTTAAAGACAAATTATACTTTTGGGGTATGTCTCTCATTTTAAAAAAAAAAAAAAAAGGTGGAATTTTCCTTTAGCTATTTTCTGAAGTATCTATTGCTAGGCATCTGAAGTCCGTGCAAATTTATAATTAAAAATATGTAAAACTGTATCCAACAACACAGACACCAAGCCACAAAAATGAAACCAAAAGAAAATAGTCCCCCCCCCCCAAAAAGGGGGGGGACAATTAGCTGGTGCAAAAGAGATGTCAAGTGATTAAATTTAGTGATCCAAACAAAAAGGCCTTGTAAGGAGCCTTGAAGACAACAGAACAACCCTGGTAAGCATAATGGTTTGTGAGGTTGCTCCATAGATTGGACAAGAAAAGCCTTATCCTGGCCCAATTCACATGTAGCCTTAGAACACAGAGGAAGGACAACCCGTCAAACTCAACTGCCTCAGAGGGATACTGGAGAAAGAGATGGTCACTCAGGCACATTAGGCGCAGGTTATAACGAAGAACTTGTTAAATGTTTTTTTAAACTAGTACTTTTTCCATAAACAAATTTCAAAACTTTTGTGCAGGTGGACTGAAATTGAGTGCGGTCTGTCAGCTGCAGAGGATGCTGAATATATTTTAATACTGATTTTGTTTTGTATGTGTAATAGAACATAAAACACTGTAACCTGCACAAAATATCATTTGCTGTAGTTAAATCTTATACTACATCATTTCAAAATAACACATTTATACATTTCATTGTTTCCGCAGCTTCAGTAGTTAGGCCAATACCGGATACAGTCAGATCAATCTATTGTAGCTGTTTAAAGATTATATGTACTGAAACATATGGCAAAAAGTTAGTCTCACCAAGGTCATTATCTGCTTATCAATTCTTTTTTTAAAAGAAACATTAAAGATACTTAAAGTAAAATGCTACTTTACATTTCTGAAAGTATACTCAGAATTGTGACTTTCTAAAATGAAGCCACGCATTTTTTAAGATATGAAACAACAAATCTGAAACGCCTACCTGAACCTACTGGAGATGATCCAACACTAAGACTTTGTAAACTTCCATTCCTGAGCAACGTTGGGGACTTTTGAAGACTAGAGCTTGTTGCACTTCCTGCAGCAGATGCCACAGACGACGTTGGAGAAGCAGAAGAAACTGATAGGTGGGAAATACTCTCCTGACTTTTATTTCCTTTGGGCCTACCAGGCCCATGTTTATTTTGTTTATTTCCTTTCCGTTTCTTTTCTGTTACAGTCTCTTCTTCTATCCCAGAAGTTTGGACTCGCTTGTATCCCGTTGAAGTAAGGCTTGTATTACCTAAGTCTCCAGGTGAGCTGTCAAAGTTTTTAGACTGGGAAACAACGGCTGAGGTTGAAGGGAGAACAATTAAGGAACTAAAACAATTCACACTCCCTTCCTGGTTTCCCATCTCTCCTTTATGTACATCTTTGGTTGACAAAGTCTGTTGGGAATGAGTGTAACTGTCATTACGCAGATCTGATTCTGTAAAACTCAAAAAATCCTGGGGAGATTGAACTGAACTTCCAGAAGATGATTTTACACTGCCAGGAGTCCCCAAAAAATTGCCTGTAGAAAGAAGGAAAGACGAGGATTTAATTTTTTTATTATGATTATTTTTATGATTTTAAAAATAAAACGCTTCTATCACTATTAAAATTGCTCAAGAAGCTGGATATTCTAGAAAATAAAACTTGGAGGTGGAGGTCTCTTTTGAAACACAGCTTTATCACTTTAGGGCTTGTCTATGTGAACAGTTGGTATGTGGCAAGAGAGGGTATATCTCTACCTCGCACTAGACGCGATAAATCAACCCCTAGACAATGGGACAAGCCTTAAGAGTTCCCTGGTGCACTGTAATCTACTCCACTTTCAAACAGGAGTAGACTGGAGTGCGCTACAAAATTCCTATTGTGCAGAAGCAGAGTCCACACAGGTAATGATTGCATGGTAGTCTACTGCATGATAGATTTATACCCTAGCTTGCTACAATCTGTATAGACAAGCCCTAAATTTGTAATGTAATTTTTAAAACATTTAATTTGATTTTATTATTTCTACTGTGTTTGCTTCTTAGTTTTTCACTCAGTTGGGTCTGATTCTCAGCCACCTCATTCCTGCACTTAGGAACAGAGATAGAGAGGGAAGGAGAAAGTGAGTGGAAAAGATGGACAAAAGTGGTTTATAAGCCCCCTCTAATGGCCCCTATATTCTGGGATCATGCTGGGCTCTGGTGTAAGTTAAAGCACATTGCTCTAACTTACACTCTGCTTTATATGTCCCCCAAGATATAAAGAATAACTATGGCACAGTGTACACCAGCCACATACCCAACAAGCCTACACTCTGCCCATGACATGCCCCCTATGCCAGGGTTCTGAAGTAGGGCTATGTGTGGAGGACTTGCACCCAGTTCTACACTGGCTATGGAGGTCCTCTTCATAAGGGGTATTTTTCAGGCAGATGTATAAAGGGCACTTTAAGCCCCTTCATACTGTAGGAACAGCATAAAAAGGCCTTTATACAACTGTGAATCATGCCCCCTCACTTTCTACTTCTCATGTAGTAGCACAATACTGAAATGACTGGGCTGCAAATATTCAGAGGAATACTTAAGTAGTCCAAATACAAATGTGTTTTCACTGAAATTCAGTAAGTATTTCTATAGATTTTTTTAAAAGATAGGTTTTGAAAAAAACTGACTATGGGGCATAATTATCTGCATGTCAGTGTTCTTTTAAGAATACATTTCAAATTCCTTTGACTCTACACAAAGTATGTATAGAGAAAGTCACAAATTACATTTTGGAAAACTGGTAAAAGCTCTTTATCAACAAAAGTCATATTTTAATGTTAGTACTCCATTATAGTAAACACAGATTATTAATCTGTTTAAAATATATAATTTACATTACATCCGTGATTTTAAGACAACTGCAATTTTGCTACTCAATTAGCATCTATATAAAAGAGGTTTTCCATCATCAATCCTGACCTGTCACCATCTGTCTTTCTTCTATACTTTTGTTTTTACAGCTGGTATAAAGAGCACACTGATGCATTAAATACTTTTAAACTACAGAGCACTTTAGGAACAACTAGTATTCCTAACCAATAAAGTACCTTAAACACTAAACATCTACTAGCTTGACTAGTGGGAAATAATGCTTTAAACTCTCTCTGTTTAACAGCACTCTATTGCCATTCTTGGCATCTATTTTTCTTTCACTGTCTTGGGCTCTGTGATTTTTAAGACATAATACAATGAAAATCTAAACAAAACATTACTTATACTTTCTGATACTTCAATACAACAAATTGATAGTGTTTGGATTATTTTAGCATGCAGAATGCAAACTGCTGACATTGTTTAAAAAAGTATAAGCATATGGGAGGAATGACTACCCAGAAGATTTGCAATTAAGAGTTCAATCCTGCAAATGGTACTCATGCAAGCAGCCCTATTGGCTCCAATAAGACTACCCACAGGCATCAAGGACAAGTCTAAAAAGGGTTGCACAAATCCATCCCTACTTTTGCCATTAGGAAAAGAGTCTTAGTTACAAAAGAACATTTGCATTAACCTGTTTTGAAACACTTAGTATACACTTCCAAAAGAATGTAAAGGGAAGTCATAGGTTTCAAAGAGGTAGTAAAAGTTACAATGATTTCCCAACATATTTTTTCAAAACAAAGGCTGCACTTTAATACATACTTTTACAGCACTTTTGTTTGAAAGAAAGCTTTCCCTTTTTTAATTTGTTTAGTAGTAGAGTTATGTACATGTAAAAATTACCACATGTTGGGAACAAACAGAAAGAACTCTCATTAACATTAGTGAGACACAAGGGCATCTCATGGCAGAACAGGCTCCCAACATCTTAAAAATGTCTCAGTCAAAACAGTCATTTGATGCACCTTTACTATTTGCTCTCGAGACAAAATTTGTTGGGCCCAGTTTCGACTTGAAAAGCAGGGGAGGTCATTTAAATCCAAAATGACTCCTTCAAAAGGTATGATCTTATGGATTCAACTTGTATGCTGTTTTTAAATAACCTGCACAAAATAAGCAAATTTAAAAAATAATAATTTTCATGAGCATAATAAAGTTCTCAACTATCATTTTCTTTAAGTAAGAAATGATCTCTTTCAATATAAGATTCCAATAATCAATTTTTGAAGTCTTATTCAAGAATGTAAATAAAACAGACCCTCAAAGAAATTTGCAAATGGTAACACTACACACGCGCACACACAACAACCTTTAAAAAAAACAACCATGAAAGAAGATGTAAAATCCATATTCCTTTGTCATCATTCTGATATTCACCACACTGGAAGTTTCAGAAAAAATGGTTACTTACCTTTTCGTAACTGTTGTTCTTCGAGATGTGTTGTTCACGTCCATTCCACATTAGGTGTGCACGCGCCGTGTGCACAAGCGTCGGAAACTTTTTCCTTTAGCGGCTCCCGGCAGGGCCCCCGCCAGAGTGGCGCCACTGCGCCGTGCATATATACCCCCACTGGCCCGACCCCCTCCAGTTCCTTCTTGCCGGCGACTCCGACAGAGGGGTAGGAGGGTGGGTGGTGGAATGGACGTGAACAACACATCTCGAAGAACAACAGTTACGAAAAGGTAAGTAACCGTTTTTTCTTCTTCGAGTGCTTGTTCACGTCCATTCCACATTAGGTGAATCACAAGCTTACCTTTGGAGGAGGGTAGGAGTCATGAAACAATTGATAACTAACTGATAACAGCTATACAACTCTAAGGCTAAGGGATTGCTTCTCTTACGAGAGTAAGAGGTTGTTCCAATGCCGCCATGGACGGTAAGAAGGATCTGGAGGGGGTCGGGCCAGCGGGGGTATATATGCACGGAGCAGTGGTGCCACTCTGGCGGGGGCCCTGCCGGCCCACCGGGAGCCGCTAAGGGGAAAAGTTTCCAACGCTCGTGCACGCGGCGCGCACACACCTAATGTGGAATGGACGTGAACAAGCACTCGAAGAAGAATGAACATAATTCCGCTTTAAACTGCATGATTTGTGGGTTTATACCTCACAGATTAACAGATTTGTATAATGAATTTTTATTAATAAACCATGTAAAAATTATTATGGATTCTTACTACTCTCCCTGACCACCACAAACTATCCTCCAGACAGACCAGAAATAGTGTGTGCGTTTTCGGTTGGGGTTTTTTTGGGGGTGGTGGGAAAGGGGTGGTTTTTGTTGCTGTTGTTTTAAAGATGCCAGTAATGGCTCTAGAAAGTTATTTTAGAATGTCAGAAAGACCTATGCAATATATAAAAATCACCAAAATATGGGTAACATACATACATCCCCAAAAACATTATATACCCAATAGACTGGAATGATGTAAAAATTAAAATGTGTATTTATATTTTGAAGGCACGTTGTGGACTCAGAAAAAGCTCCAAAGACAAGTTTCAGTCTATCTTGAAACTAATCATTTAGGACACATTATACATGATTTTAAGATACATAAAATACAAACAGAAGTTTGTTCGGTTTCATTTTTACACTCGGCAATTTAAAATTAGTATTATTAAAGTTTTGTGTTTTTTTTTAAATGTCTCCTATACTCAGACCTTACACGCCAAATTTCAGCAGTGAGCAAATCTGCCAGCAGATTTACAAATTGCCAAAACCAGAAATGTCAAGTGAAAACTAAACCTAAATGGGCATAAACTGTCTTTTCCTGTAAAAACAGAACATACACATAGCATACAAAAAAGAGACAGGCATCTCTTTTTCTGAAAACAAAGTAACCAGCAAAAGATGCAAGAAGCATTTATTGATTTAAAATAACCAAACTTTCCTATCATTATTCTGGATGATGGGTAAATGATTTTTTAAATTTAAGTATGAAAGATTTCTATCTGTTTACTCAGAGGTCATCAGAGAAACAGTATTATTGCTATTTTAAATACCTGGCTGAAAAGGACTAGCAGCTGACACGGTTGTTCCTGGATTCCTTCCACTACCAGGCTTTCTTCCCCTCTGACCTGAGCTGTGACCTGCAGATTTCTTCCCTTTGCTCTCTGACCCTCTAGCCTCTGAAGCATCTTTTCCACTTGAAGTATGTGCAGAGACTTCCTGGAAATTTGCATTTGTAAATCGAGCTGTGGTATCTTCCAACCGCTTCAAGGAGCCTGGCATAGAATTGTTGCTAGTGCTTGTGTAAGTCTAACATTTTGATTAAGAGAAAAGAAGTTAAAAAAGAGACAGTTAGACCACAAAAAAACTGTACATCAACCAATAAAAAAAATGCGTGGAAGAGAAACATTCGAGTATCCTAACATTAAAGAAAACATTAACAGTCTTTCTTTTTAGTTTCATAAGTTAGCAGTATACTTTTTAAAATAATTTTTGAAACTTTTAATCTTATTATGTTATGATAGCACCATAAAAACAAAGAACAGAAAGTCAGTTACTAATATGTAATTTTTTTGATCAGATATAGTGCCAGCTGTCAGTTCAGTTACCAAGCATCAGATTGCAGCAATTAATAGAAATGTACGTGCTAACATATCCACTATATTTATCAAAAGGCAAATAGTAACACTACTAGCTCTACTGATCAAAATAATGGCAATTATTCCTGAAACTTTAGCAAGCTTGTGAAGCATGCTGTATAATCAGAAAACCTACAGTTTTACGATTATGGCACCAATCCTGCAGACTGCATACGTACTTAATTTCGTACAGTTAGTAGTCCCACTGTACTCAGCAGGATTGCTCAAAGTGTATGAAATTAAACATAAGTAAGTCTTTGAAAGACTGGGTCTAAAAAACAGTTTCATGATACAGAAAATGTTTATATTTTGGAGTTGGATAGGAGTCTCTGGATTACTTTACAGAATGCCAAGACTATTTTCATCTGCAAATGTGTAACGAGAATTCTATCACATTAAAAGGGAGATTTGAAATACTTTGAAAAAAGTTATTTATATTTTATAGTTTTATATTAATATATACACATACTATAATAATATTACATTACACACATATGCACACAGTCTTTCCATACAAGTTAATAGAAGATGTCAATTAATTTTTTGGTAACTTTAAGATATGAATTTAAACTGATTGGGAGAAATGCTTATTTCTTATAAAACTAAGACTAGACCAGAAAATGTGTGATTATGACAAAGTCTTACTGATTAGGCAAAATTAGGAGTGTTTAAGTAATGATTATTCAGATGTAGAAGTTACTTTGAAGAAATTGTTGGATTGTTAATATAACATGATTAAACTCTATAAGCTTGGCTGTGCGATTTTTGGCAAAAATGTTAGAATAGTAGTCAATTATAACTATTTTGATAACTGAGTGAAATTCTGACTCCATTGAAATCAATGGCAAAACTCCCATTCAATATCTATATTTATGTTGAGTTTATCTGGTATTTCTATGAATGAGTTAATATTGTATAGATTATTTTATTAAGGTATTGTGAGGCCTTTTGCTGGTAGTGATATTTTTCAAAAAGCTTTTTTGTGATGATATAATTTATGTATGCTAAAATGAAAAAAATACAAATATAATGATATTAAATAACTCCAGAAAGTCTTTAGAAACTAATAAAGATGAAGGATTTTATATGTTGGATGAAAAAAATATGAGGAAAAGGAGTGACATTATTCAGCAGTTATATTTTACTAAACTGAGCAGACATATTATTAAACAAAACACTAATTTGCATTCTGATTGGTAGAAAACCTCCTAAATGTTAAATACTGGTTAAACAACCAGATCTTTGTTTAAATATTTTATATCAATATTAAACAGTACATTTTTCTTTCTGATTCTTTAATCATTATTAAGGCTCTGAGATTCAGGACAGCACTAAAATGTCTTTAAATCCATCCCTACTAAAAAAAACATTTACACATGTACTGCTTAAATCCCATTAAAACTATTCTCTAAAAAGATGCTTTCCTGAATTGGGTCTATAGCACTATAAAAAACAATTTATTATCTTTCACATTGTGCTTTGATATAACTGGCATGAAAAAATGATCTCACTTTTCACTAATACAACCACCACCAGACAGAAACTCAAAAAAAGTTAATTATAATAAAATTATCTGCTGTTTCAATACAATTCAGATTTTACATTCTGGGGTATGTTACTCAATATGTGAGATCTCAGGAAGCTGTACTGAGAAAAATGTACCTTTCAATCAGTAGTTTATCAGTGTTCAGAAATACTTTTTTATTTTAGAAAACTACCCGTTTGCTCAATAGCCTCTTTAGAAGCAATATATTCCCATGTAAATTTGTTTCATTCTAACTATATTTTTTTCAAGTTTTCACAGTTCAGGGCAAACAATGTAAACCATGGCACAGAGCAGGGCACTACTTTTTAAAATTATTACCTACAAGTTTACCAACTACTCTCAAAGTCATTTTAGTAAGAAATGAAATCCTATTTGCATAGACCAATAGGATTCAAGCTGATTAAACTCCATGGCTTACTTTGGAAACATGAACCTTTTGCATGCTGGGCAGGTCAATTGGGAAACCACCCCAGCTCATTTTTCAATCATTTTTCCATTAGCTTGGGCTGGTCCTGAAGCTCTCCATCCCACTCACATGTGACCTATATGACCTAGTACAGGTCAAAAGCCATGTAAAGAAAACACATTGGTACTCTTCACTCATGTGTCAAGTGGGGGAGGGAGAGGAAACCGAGCAAGGGTACTGTACATGGAAACATAATATGAACTCCCACTTAGAGGATCAAATTAGGTTTGGTCAGTTCCCCAATGCCACTTAATGGAAAAGATACTAGAGTCACCCGGAAGTTTAAAGCTGTTACTTTGCTCCACTCCAACTCTAAGCATATATATTATGTAATATTCTGATCCCCCCAAAGTCTGAAATTCTAGAAATCATATTGTCTTCATGTTAGCTAGCTAGACTCAGAAACAGCTGCAAAATATGAAAAAAGCTATGCACTCCAATGCTTGCTGTTGTTCTTTTGTCACTGTAGCATACAAACAAAGCCATAATATGTAGTACAATGAACTAAAAAAACCCACCATGCAACACTATTAAGTGAAACGCAATGCTAACATGCAAACTGCAAAAAGTCATAGGAATAGATCTGCAAAGCAACCAATTGTATTAAAAACCATGCATATTCCTCAATCAAAAGATCCAACAAGTTTTAACTGATGTTATTGAATCTGGGAGAGAAGAATGGGAGTTAAATTTATGCCAGTCAGGTTAATTACTTTAAATAAAGGTAGGCAAAGTGGGACTCTCCAAAACTGCCAACGTGGCTCAGTTCAGAGCTGCAGAAAAATTTCACTTAGGATTTTCTGAATAGTATAGAATCATAGAAAATTAGGGTTGGAAGAGACCTGAGGAGGTCATCTAGTAGTGAGAAAAGGAAATATGCATAACTAACAAATTAATGAGTCACCATAAGGAATGTCAGAACTACAATGGATGGCAGCACAGGACTAGCACAATGCTAGCAAAAGAAGGTAGCATATATATATATATATATATATATATATATATATATATATATATATAGTTATGACAGACAGCATTCATCTGTTATGACTCTACCCCACTTGACAAATACTTGTTTAGCCACAGCTGCTCCAAACTGTTATACTTATTATTTCTATTAGGCAGCACCTAAATGCCATGAAGAGAATGGGATTCCCATTGTGCTGGACAAACACGAGTCTTGTCTTCACTGTCACAGTTAGCTTGAAATAGTGCACTCGAGTTACTGCACCTCGAGTTAACCTAGCGTGAGTGAGAGGCCAAACCAAATTTCAAAACAACATTCCAGCTACAGAGTGATTTGATTAGCTACTGATGAGCTGTTGTAACTTGAGATACTGCATCCCCACTGCATTACAATCTCAAGCACCTGCATTACTGGAGCCTCCATCCACCCCACCCCAACAGGCCAGCTAAAGCACCACTAGAGAATTTTGTGGGTGGATGGAATCGAGTTATGGGTAACATTCAAGTTATAACTAGACCTAACTATGCTGTGAAGAGATGCCCAAAGACATAGACCCAGGCCCAACATGCTTACTGCAAACTAAAAAGGACGAAAAATAGACAAAGGGTGTGAGTAGGGTGACCAGATGTCCCGATTTTTGGGTCTTTTTCTTATATAGGCTCCTATTACCCCCCACCCCCGTCCCGATTTTTCACACTTGCTGTCTGGTCACCCTAGGTGAGAGAAAGAGATCCAATGAAACAGGCAAAGCGATCAGGGTAATGGCAGGCACAAATTTTTATTCCAGTAATTTTCCATACATGTTTGATGGGTTTTTGTTTTGTTTTGTTTTGTTTGTTTGGGGGTGGTGGACAACAGATGTTGGGATGAAAGGCAGTAGGTGCAGGGTTGGTAGTTTATTAACTGCCCTTACCTCTTTCATCATTTTTTTTTTTTTAGATATTTAACTCCTTAGGTCAAAGTCCATGTGTTCATACATACTTGGTACAGCACAACAATAACTTGCCTATTTTAATAAGATTTATTAATAACTCTTGCCAATACAATTTCTTTTTAGAAAAAGTATCTGTATTTAAAAGTTTTCAGCCACTGCCTCTTTACTTTTACAATTGTTTTAACCCTTCATTTATTTTACTTACTTTTATTTCCTACATGCCTATTTTCTAATTTTTGTTTTAATTCTTGCCTATTTATTTTTCACTCTGCCTATTTCTAGATTTATTTAGTTTTAAACCTTGCTTATCTTTTATCTTTGCTTTTATACTTTTTAATTTCCAGTTTTATTCTTAACTTCTTTTTGAAAATCTATTTCTTGGCCATTACAAATTCACCTCTTGATTTACACTCATTACAATCTGATATTGATTATTACAATGTGGTGGCAACACCACAATAGTTAAGCCTTATCTACACTAAGGCCCAGTCAACACTAAAAATTAGGTCAGCATAACTACGGCCTTGGCTACACTGGCGGTGTACAGCGCTGCAACTTGCTGCGCTCAGGGGGGTGAAAAAACACCCCCCTGAGCACAGCGAGTACAGCGCTGTAAAGCGCCAGTGTAATCAGAGCCCCTGCAGCGCTGCATGCTTGTTCGTAGCGCTACAAGCTATTCCCCTCGGAGAAGTGGAGTACATACAGCGCTGTGAGAGCTCTCGCAGCGCTGGCGGCGCGACTACACTCACGCTTCACAG